TTCAGCTACAGAGACTACATATATTATTATAACATAACTAATAAAGCAGATAACACTGATATAACAGGTGTGATGTATATAAATTAACATTAGTGTTAAGTGAAATAATACTGGCCTATTCTCGATCACTTAGAGCTTTGGAAACCTGTTGCTGAATACATATATAGATAAGCTCCGTCTCTTTACCTGGAAAAAGATGCTGAATTCCATTATTGTGTAGTTTTTTCACAAGCACAGCAGACATTTCTGGGATGTCACTGATGGGGATCAGGTTGCTTTTAATGTCTCTGTGAATGACATCAGGCTGAGCGAGCCACTGAGGCAGAACTCTGTGTACCTGTGTAAAGAAGAATACACACACTAATATTTACTGTCTAACATAGATTGTATAAAAAACACGTGGATGTAGCCTCTGGGTCTGAAAAGTGAAGTCAATGTGCCTTAACCCTGCATTCTTGCTAATGTCCAGCAGGGGGCGACTCCACTGGTTGCCAAAAGAAGTCCATCTGTTAAAGTCTCTGGGGAAATGACCCTACTTCTCACTTGATTTATTTTCTCAATAAACATTTTCCTGATGAGTTCATGCCCTCAGACACTAGTTTCAAGCCTACTTCAATACAGCATGATGTTCAATTTGTAAATTAGCATCCCATTCAGAGTAGTATCTACAGTAAAGCAGTGTATGCTTTGAAGCGTGGCCACCTTATGACTGACAGTCACTATCACAGCCACCTGTCGATCAGTTAAGAGGCGTTACAATGCGTGCTTTGAACTTCTTTTTGGGTGTTGTCCATATTTTAGTCTTAAAACTTTGACCCTTTCACACTGTTTTCAATTAATGACAGTTGGTACATTTTGGTTGCCTTGTTCAGTGTTTGGTTGTACTGTAGGACACTCTAAGGGGTCGGCTGTTCATTTTTTTCAGTGAGTAAATTTTTCTAAGCCTGTTTTCTTCGCTAGCCAAAATTAGCATCGTATTTAAAGGTCCAGTGTGGAGGATTTAGGGGGATGGTTTTGCAGAAATTGAATAGAATATTAATAACTATGTTTTCAGTAGTCTATAATCACCTGAAACTAAGATTCATTGTTTTTTTTATAACCTTTGAAAGAGCCATTTATATTCCCTCGCACTAGATGGGGCCTTTTGTGTTTTTTTCGCATTGGCCACCCTAGTTCTCATACATGCTTAGCACACAGGAGAAGTTTCAGTTGGTTGCAATCTGCAACCTCACTGCTAGATCCTACATACTACCTTTAATGTCACAATTAATGTGAATTCAGCAGGCACATTGATAACCACGATAGCTAGCTATCTACTAGCTATATACTTCCAGTTTAGCACTCCACTAACTTGAGTGGGAGTTTCCAAATATTAATGGACCAAATAGATCAAATTCACATAGTAAAACGAGTCATTTTGAGGAAGTTGTGAAGCTCAAACATTTTTTTTTTTTACTGATTCACAGGCATCTCTTTCACAGTGTAAGTCTATGGGAAAAAGTCTTCTTGGAACACATAGCATCATGTGATGGAGGCTTACACAAACCAATGGGTGACAACACAGTGGCTATGTCCACTCTTTCTATACAGTCTATGATGCCCACAGAGAATGAATACTAATGATACTGGCAACCCCTGAGTCTATCTTAAAGGGCCAGTGTGTAAAATGGGTTGAAAACAGTTACATCAGTGGTCAAATTCTAGATTGCAGGGCTCACTCGCTCACCCCTCCCGTCGGGTAAATGATGGCGGGCTCGTAGGGACAAAAAGCCTTGCGCACGAGTTTTTCAGGAGTAGGTCTATCTAGCGACGAGGTGTATATTTATTTAGAAATCTAAGCCATGTTACGATATTGTAATGAATCCCTCACGAGCAGGAGACCAGAGGAGCGTTCGGGAAAAAGGCCCGTTTATTTGAGCACTCCAGAAACTCCGGTAACACTCCACTCCGTCCCAAACTCTGACTCTTCTAGCGTAACAGACACACTTCATAACTTTACACACATACTCGTTTACCATACCGAGTGGGGACCCCCCTCCCCTCTCTGCTCCGCCAATCTCCAGCCCGCACACTGACTGACAGCGTAGCCGGTAAACAGAGCTCAGCTGTTTATTTAGCCTAGCAATATCTCCGGACTATAGTAGCTGCAATGGACGACTTTGAACGCGATTTTGAAGAGTTTCTTGTAGCGGACACAGACCCAGAGCCATACCTGTTTGAGCCGGAGCATACAGATGAGGAACTCCATGTGTTTGATGCTGAGCGGGTGAGAAGAGAGGCTGAATGCACAGAATGGGATTCGGTGCTACTGCTACCATCGTTGGGGAGATATATCATCAGGAGGAAAAGCGCCGCAGAGAGTGCATCACAAGGAGTGAAGTTGCGTCTTCTTTTCCTCGCAGATGACGGTTCGGGTTCATTCTCTCCTGTTGCGTGGTAAGTGTGGTCCATTCGCAAACTTTATAACTAAAAAAACTTTTCACTACTCTCTATCGACGAACTACTAACACTCTCTGCTGTTTCCTCCTCCTTCTTCCTTCCTTCCGCTGTCTTCGTTGGTTCATTTATACACGCGAAACGCGTTCTCTGGCTGGCTGGATTGTCCGCTCGGTCTGCCGTACATACATGGCGGCGCAAGATGGCGACCTCTCTAAAGCAAGGCCCTTGCTATATATATACATATATAAAAGCATAATTATAAGGCTACGAAAACCAAACGAATTTTATTTTATAGCGATTATACACTTGTATAAACATATTAATGGGTAGAAGATTCAGATTCAGATTCAGATTGACAATAAACCATGCCAAATATTACACACTGGCCCTTTAAGCTCTACCAACGAGTCACTGTACCTTCTGGACAGGTTTGTTCTCAAATCCTCCCAGAACTGTGAATCCAGCTGGAGCAGAAGTCTTCTCTGTGGTTTGTTTTATTGTGATATTTTCTGTCTCTACTTTCTCGTCTTCTTCTACTGTGTCCTCCTGTCCATCTTTTCCAGTCACAGGAGTGTCAGAAAGACCTTTAACAGAACTGCCTAAAATAAAAAAAATAAACAAAACAACAGGAAAATCATCCCATGTGAGGCATTTTTTTCTTGTGCAGATAGCATTCACATTACAGGTCAACATCATAATTCTGAACAGGCCATAACTAAACTACTGCAGTGAATGTCACTGCTGCCATATGCCCTGAGTGGTTATGCTGCAGCCTGTTTTGCTGGTGCCAGCTGCAGCCCTCTCTCAATACTGGACCAATTTTTAAAAATTGTTGTTTCCATTACTAACTTTGACACAAAAACATGGGAAAACAGGGTCCAGGTTGAAAAATAATGAAGTTACCCTTTACAAGCTCCATGGGGCTATAGGGAACTGCAGAGCTGGTAATAATTCTCTGTCACTATGAGTGACTGCTCTCTGGTACGTATAGCGATTTGATCCATTGCTTATTTAAAAAACTCAATTAGTGCAGCTTTAAATGATGCAGTTAGGGATGTGGGCAAGCCTACATATTTGGCATTTTTGTACCACAATTTTTGCTACATATTAGCAGACATTTCAAAAGGCACCCAACTCTCTACATTAAAGTAAAATCAGCTGATAATACTGGCCATGCCAATGTGTCAGCCAGACTCTAAAAGGCACAAGGCACAATATAAATGACAAAATGTCACAATATCCTAACACTGATCATGTGAATGATATGATAGTTATATTGCCCAGTTTTGTGCCAACATGTGAATATATAAAAGAGCAAGCACACACCTGACTGATCCTTTTTCTTCTTCTGTTTTTTATCTGCAACTGTCTTGCTCTTCTTTTCCTTTTTGACAGGCTCATCGTGGTCATCTGAGTCTGTAACAAATGAAGGCACCACTTCTGATTTCCTTTTTTTGTGCTGTTGAGACTCCTCACTGCTGTCCTTGTCAACTTTTCTTTTCTTTTTGACCTCCTGCTTTTCTGTCAGTCCTTTAGGCAGTTGTTGTTTCTGTTCTGTTAAACTCTGTTTCTGCTTCTCTTTTGCCTTCTGCTGCAGTTTAGCCAGCAACGCCTGAGACCGAGACTCCTTTGAGACGCTCCCATTTTCCTCCTCTCCCAGATACCTGTGAGCAACATGATAGAATTTAATGTTACAGATTCCTCAGTCCACAGAACAGCAGCTTTTGGTCAGTTTAGCAGCTTGTGACCTTAGAATTACACTGCTATATCTTCATTTGTGTCAAAAATTAGTTATTCACAAAACTCTATTTTTTTCATCTGTTTTTTTTATATTCTGTTAATGTTTATATTTATCAATTAATGTCCATATAACTTGAAAAAAGAAAATCAGTTTTGCTATCTGATGTGAAAACAATCTGTCATTGTTATCTTAGAAGCAAGATACATCCATGTCACTCCAAGGTCATGTACTAATGACAAAAAAAAGCAGAGACCAACGATGCTGATACTAAACCTACCTGTTAACAAGAAACAGAGACATCTCAACAGCAAGATGAAACGCTCCAATGAAGTTTTGTATAAATTCAGCTCTCCCGCATTTGAAACTTAATAACACTAATATCAGTTAACCACGTCCTGATTCGCACTGCTTCTATAAAGCACTGTAAACGTTTAACTTTTACTGAACTACAAAAATCTCCACTTTCTCGTGTGTTTTGCACATCGTTGTAGATGCGTTTTGATGACGACACACAACGATGTCGCGTTTTTACTCGTCACCAGCCTGACGCTACCATAATTAACTTGATTTTTCGGAGGGAAAATTCAAGTAAAAAAAATTTGCTTTAAGAGCTATTTCCCATACACGGGATATTAAACGTTGTTTTAAATACATTTTAAAAAGCACAAAATGAGCTAAAACTTAAGCCAACTTCCTTTTTTCCACCACAGTCCCACATGGATCTGTCCACTCGATGACGTTGTCCAATCAGAACAAAGTGGTAAATTTTAAACCAGAGCCGGAGCACCATTTGAAAACCTAGGAAAGGGAGTAACGTTATTTCTGCGCTCGTGTTAGTTACGTTGCCAATTTAATGTTAGGTGGATGACTAACGTTATTGGAAACAAAAATGACCGAAGAGTCGGCTGTTAAAGTATGCATTCGAGTCCGTCCGCTTATTGCGAGGTAAGTTTTCTGCCAACAGCTAACGTTAGCGTCAGAGAGTTACAAGTTAGGAGCAACCGCAAAGTTGCCTAACGTCAATGCTAATGCTAACTGTTAACGTTACTAAAGTAATGATAGGAATGTGTTATTAGCTAAAGTTCAGACGCGTATAACTGAATTTTCGGCCAGTAATAATAAACGGTAACGTAACGTTATGTTTCTAACATTAACGTTCAGCAGTAAGTTCAAAACGTTTTCTATGACGTTGGCAGGTACCGTACAAATAAATAAATAATAGACGTCGTTTTCGTTAACTAACTTATGCTAAGCTAGTGCTGTGTAGACAGTTATAAAAACAAGAATAGTAAGGTTACCAATTGTACTTCCCCCTGAATGATATCTGCGATAGAAATAGTTTTGCTTCCTTGCCAACATGAAGTGTTTTATGCCAACTAACGTTAGTTACACTGTTGTAATGATCGTTAGGGCGTAACGTTACAACGCTGAAGCAATAGTGGCTAACTTATAAAGGGACTAGAGATGGCGCCGTTTGGTCGAGCTTATCAATTATCAGGCACAAACTGGAGCAAAGCGCCATTATTACTTATTTTATCACTTAACAAAGTCTGCCTGAAGTTGTTGTTGATTCCTACAGTGCCCTTTATGGTCACATCTGAAGTGCAAAACATCTATAACTGTTTCATTAGAATGTATAATTGTTTTTTAGTTGTCCCTCTGTAACTTATTCCATGCATATAAGATAGCTACTTGGTAATACACTGATGATGGATAAGTGACTCATACAACCCCTCTTAAAGAAATGTGAATTGTCCCTTTAATGTTGAATGATAACATTGCCCTCTGGATTCCCGAGGGAAATTGCTATGCAGCAGTTACAATACAAAGGTAGGTGAGTGCAGATACAAAGCATGAGATATACAGGTATTAAAACAAAGTAGAAACGTAATGTATAGAAAATATAAAAATCAATATATAGGAAATATAAATTAAAAATAAACTAGCCACCAGTAAGGTGCAAATATATGCAATAAATGAATACTACTAAATATATATATGAAAACAGGTTCTCCCATCAGGAAGAAGATTCCCCATGCCTAAGTGCAAGACAAACCACCTCAAATTATCATTTGTTGCAGCCTCCATTAAGCTGTTGAACAGTGTTAAAAAACTAGTGCAATAGAGCAACGAGCAACGTGCAATGAACACACAGCACCCAAGCACTCAGCACTTTTTCTTGCACTGTAGACGTCTCTGTATGTCCCTGTGTTGTCATTGTTAAATGTAGTCCACGTCTGTTTTATGAAACAGAACTGTCCTTGTGATGATGTTTCCCTGTGATGATATTTTTATCTTGTGTTGTGAAGCAATGAAATGTAGCACTGTGCCCAAGACGAATTTCCCTTGGGGGACAATAAAGTTTACTTTACTTTACTTAGTTTACCAGTATGAGTGACAAATAAAGTATGTTTGCTTCGTAATATATTTGTTTGTGTGAAAGTGCCAGAGTGCATGATTAATACATACACGTGTCTATTATATATTTTATCACAGTGTATATGTAGTGACATAAATGGTGCCCCTTGTCTACTGATACTGTATATTTATTTTTGCTCTCTTATGGAACTTTTTTATTATTATTTATTCTGCTTTCATAGCAGCTATTTTGATTTAGTTAGTTTTAGTTCTTTCCATAAAGTATGCTAATGTTTTCACACATATATCCTGATTGTGTGTCCTTGTTACAGGGAAGAAAGTGCTGAGTCAGAGGATGCAGAGCCCGTCCACCTGTTTTGGAAAGCTGATAAGAAATCAATTCATCAGATCGATGATGGGAATTCCACTAAGAGCTTTAGTTTCGGTATGTTTTGCAGCATGTACAGGATTAAGAATTGTGGTCACTAGATTTTGTGGCTTTAACATAGAGTCGTAGTAATAGAAGTCTACTTTACATTCACTGTTGCCCTCTGTTGTCCCCAGACCGAGTGTTCACTGCAGAAGAAACAACCAATCAGCTGTACCAGAACATTGCAAAGCCTCTGGTTGTTTCCACTGTTGAGGGATACAATGGTATGTAATGGAAACTGAATGCAGTGAGACCTGTCTTGTGGAGATACTCATTACTCACTGTAGTCGCATGGTGTTTATTTTGTGTTTGATCCACAGGAACCATATTTGCTTACGGACAGACTTCTTCCGGAAAGACTTTTACTATGATGGGGTCTGACCGATCACCTGGAGTGATACCATTGGCTGTGGAGGATGTCTTCCAAACAATTAAAAATGTGAGAACTGTTTCACCTGTTTCAAACACGCCCTATAACTGTTTGTAATCAGTTTATTCTAACCAATGACTTGTCTTTTGCCCAAAGTGTCCAAAGAAGGAGTTCCTTCTCAGGGTTTCGTACATGGAGATCTACAATGAAACAGTCACTGACCTGCTTGTGGACAGCTGGAAGAGGAAACCCCTGGAAGTCAGAGAGACAATCAATGTTAGTGGGCTTTTTGAATGGCTTTTTGTCAAATTGAAACCCTTATCAAATTTTTTGTGGCCTAGTTTACAACATTTGCAGTAACTCAACGAAGTCTCAAACATTACATTTAATCACTTTTTGTTGGCTGAGAAGGCATAAACTGTTTTAGTGCCAGCTTGATAACTGTTCACGTCCTGTAGAAACAAGCTGAAAATGAAATGAGCAGCATTAGATATGAAATTTTCATTAAAATAATAGGTGCAGTCCCTCTGACTTTTACACCTTATTTTTCAAAAATCAGAACTGGTATGTTGATCAGCTTAAAATATTTATGACATGCATAAACGTTTAACTGGAAGATTTCATCTGAAATCGTTTTGCTGCGATCAGAAAAATCATTTTAGTCAGGATCATTCATGACTCTGTAGGTCTGCTGAACTGCAAAAAGTCTAACATCACAGACTGATGGAACATATTTCAAAGTCTAGGAGCACTAAATGACAGAAACCCTACAAAGATGTACTTTTCTATTTTACATGATTTTTGTATCTGTGTACAGAAAAACATCTATGTGGCTGACCTAACTGAGGAACTCGTTACGTCTCCTGCACAAGCCCTGGCCTGGATTCGGAAAGGAGAAAGTAAGATCTGAGATTACAGAACATCAGAATGATGACGTGCTCTGCAGACTGTGTGTAATTACCAAGGTGTTTTCTCCTCTGTAGAGAACCGCCACTATGGAAAGACAAAAATGAACCAGCGAAGCAGTCGCTCCCACACCATATTCCGAATGGTAAGTAACACCACATCTTCATTGCATAGTGACATAACAGATTCTGGGGAAAGCTGGATTTTTCACAATATTGTTCTCTTAGATCCTGGAAAGTCGAGAAAGAAGCGACCCAGCATCAGGAGAAAATGCAGATGGAGCCATTATTGTGTCTCATTTGGTAAGCTAGCTCCATTTATTGGCTTGTTTTCCATCTTTATGTTACATTTTGCTGTCTTGTCTGTGTCATTGCTTGTGTTGTTGTAATTATTTGTTCACCAGCAATTTGGCTTCATCTTTTAGAATTTAGTTGATTTGGCTGGATCAGAGAGAGCAAGTCAAACAGGAGCTGAAGGTAAGCCGGAATTAAATTTAAGGTTGCTGATTGAATCCACATGAAATGCACACTATGATACTATGTTAGAGTTCATTGATTGCACACTACAGTGTATAATGAGTTTCTGCTTTGATATCCTAGGCACACGTTTCAAAGAAGGTTGCAATATCAATCGCAGTCTCTTCACACTCGGCCAAGTGATCAAGAAATTGACAGATGAAAGCCAGAAGTGAGTAAAGGATGAACATGCAACGTACTTACTACAGAGATTTTTCCACTTGTGCTAACATAAGGAACAATTTTTACTCTTGTTTTACACCATACATACAGTTAGGGTTGTTTTATGTACCATGAGCGTATACTCAGCATCAGTCAGCGTTGAAATGTTCCTTCTTTCTGGGCAGTCTAACTGCTTACAGATACATCCTCACTAGCCAAGCAGGCAGAGGATCATGAACACTTTCTTAAATATCTCAAGTCATGTCAGTTTTATTTATATAGCACCAAATCATAACAAAATTTATCTCAGGAAATGTTTTATATAACAGCCTGAAAAATTTCCACCATGAGCAAGCAAATTAAATTAAATAGGCCACATTTAAAGAACAGGGCTCTGCTCTGTATTATATACATCTCATCTAACTGTCATAAAGAAAATGATTTAGTGCATTTGGCCAAATTTTGAGCTGTTTATTTAATATACTCATTAGTGGTGTAAGTGATGGAACAAAAATATTTCAAACTCCGTTGTGATTATTTAGTAGTAAACAATTCATGTTTACTAAAAGTAAATTGAGGAGAGGAAAAAGGAACATATTTTTTAAATGGTTATTACTAACTGATTTTTATGTTTTTAAACATTAATTCGAGGTGCTGGTATTTTGCCAAATTTCACTCTCTCTCTCTCTCTCTCTCTCTCTCTTTCTCTCTCTCTCTCTCTGTTCAGGGGTTTCACAAACTACAGAGACAGTAAGCTCACCCGCATCCTGCAGAATTCCTTGGGTGGGAACGCGAAAACAGTCATCATTGGTACCATCACACCTGTTGCTTTGGATGAGACCCTCAGCACTCTGCAGGTAGATGAAATATGTAGATTCCGGTCCTGCACACCTAACATCTCTACAGTACCATGACCTGTTAATACTCAGTTCAGGGCTCAAAATACTTTTTTTTCTGTACATGAACTGGTGCATGCACCTTTACTGTGCCATTTGGTGTAATTGGTATTTTAAATTTGCACTTATCCGCTGCAAGGTTCGACCTAAATTGCAATACTGCACAGTAAAACTGCTTCAAATTTTAGATGGTCATAGGAACATTTTGAGCAGCTTTTCATCAAACCTATTATGAAAAAAAAAAGTTTTTGAGTCATATTGGGACTTCTTTGGTGACTTCTTTGATTTTATATGAATATGAATTCATCTAAATAAATAAATATTACAGACTGAATATTGACCTCTACAAATTAGTTCCCAACTTCTCCTGATACCAGTAGCTTTCATTGCTGTTTGTGAATATGAATGAAACAAAATGTGCTACTGGAAGTCACTGTGCATATGCACATGGTATTTCAAGCCCTGCAACTGTTATATTGTAATACTAAATAGTATGGTACATTTTACTTTGTTAGCTCATTCCCCCAGTACACAGCGCACCATTGCAGATGGATGTCGTCCGTCTGGAAAGTTCTGTTTTATGACAAAGGCAGATGATGTTTCACAAAATGTTTCTTTATATTAGTTTGCCAGCACTGCAAAGAAAATGAAGAATGACCCTCATGTGACAGAGGTGTCTGATGACGGGGCTCTGCTCAAAAGATACCGCAATGAAATTGTAGACCTCAAGCGACGCCTTCATGAGGCAAGTGGCATCATTCCTCAGTCATGTTCTCTTTGGACCATCACTGCAAGTTCCATTATTGCAGCACTTTCTACCCACTAACCTGTGGATGACCTCCCAACAGGTTTCTTCAGTCACACAGACCACAGCCACAGAGAAGGAGGTTCTCTCCCAGCTGCTCCAAGAAAAGGATCAGCTCCAGAGAGAACAAGAAGACAGGATCAAAAACCTGACTAAACTGCTGGTCACCAGCACAAACCAGGTTCCTGCTCAAAAGGTAGATATGACACAAAATAATGTCAGAGTACAGCTTTCTCTTTCGTATCATAGTCATAACAACTCATGTCCTGTTTTTAAGATGCCAAAACGCAGGGTTACGTGGGGAGGAAAGATGCTCAGACTTGCCCGTCCATCTGCATGTGATGGTGGTTCATCTGACCTTAGCTTTGCAGACCCTTTCACTCGGAAGAGGAAAGCCTCTAATGTCTCTCTGATGGAGCTGGTTGAAGGTACAGAGGAGCGCGTAAAATAAAGTATATGCACTCTGAAAATCACAATTCACCTTATAATTACCATGTCGTATATGAACTGCACTGTCGGGTAATGAGTGGAATGCATACATGGCATGTTTGAACAGATGATGAGGACTTCGACTCTCACTGGGAGATTCCTGATGAGCCTTCAGATGATATGGAGATAAGTCAGAGCTCTGTGACTGTCAGGAGCTTTGGAGACAGGTAAATGTCTTGATAATTACAGTTCAAGTAGTTTTCACTTGAAAGACAGCAAATGTAACTACTCAAGCCTCCAGACCAACCTTATTAATCTGGGCAAATCTGGGCGCTTCTGCGTCCATTGTGAACCTGGCATGAGGCTACTGTATGTGGAAAAAAAAAAACCCTGTCTTTTCAGTGTTTGTAGGTAATTCACAGTTGTTGAACACATTAGTCATCTGTATGTTTTATCTTTTTCCAGTCCCAAAGACTTTGTGTCTCCAGACCGTGTGCATGAGCTTTCAGGGAAAGTGTCCAGCCTGCAGCTGCAGCTGCAAACAGAGGTCCAACAAAAACAAGAGGCCTTGGAGAAGGTGGCAATGTTGGACCTCCGAGTTGCAGACCTGGAGAGACGGCTGGAGGAACAGAACAACACTAAAACTGATGAACAGGTATGATTTATACCTGCTGCCTGGCCTCCAAGTAAAGTAAAAGGAGAAATCCTTAATTACACGAGAATAGCATCTTTGGCATGTTCATTGTTTTTTGTTCTGTCCTGGTTGTGTTAGCTGGTTTTAGTATTAATCTTCATACCTCATTTTGCAGATGGGTAAACAGTTTGCAGAGGCCATCCAGCTGTGTGAGACACTGGCTTCAGAGAAGGTAAGGCTTGATGGGGCACCTCTGTGGCACATATCCTACTACTCAACTTGTTGTGCCTCTGATAGCAGAGAAAATCCTCTTAACTTGTTTTCCTCTGGATGTATGTATGTAATATATTTTCTGTTTTATAACACAAAGGTTGTGTGTCCCTTACAAGGTATTAAATAAACCACAAGCATGTTTAATCTAGAGTCACTGAGTTGTGTTTTTTCCACAGATAAAACTCAGAAAGCCTTTTGAAGATAGTCTGGCTTTATAGGCCAAAAATGGTCTTAACTGTTTAATGCATTTGTTGCACAACACAGTTACTAAAGCTTTGTTTTTATGTTATCCACATGGATAATTTGTTTATTTGTACTAGAAAAAATATTCTACAGAGACACTATTGCAACATGTTGCTAAAAATTCAGGAATTATTAGGTTACACTCGAGCAGTTTCCAGTGTTTCTACATTTAGAATCACATAAAAGAGGGTAACTACTCCAATAACAAAAGGAAACGCATTTATTTCTTCTACTAGTAATGAAAAGAAGCTACATTAGGGCAATGCATTTCAAGTGGAAATACTGAAAGCTCTTAAACTGATTAAATTGTATGTTTACAGGACGTGGTGGAGGTCGAGCGAGACTACCTGAAGCAGGAGCTCGGGATGTTCCTAGAGCAGATTGAAACTCTGGAGAAAGAGAAAGCTGCTCTGTCAAAAGAGATGGAGGAGAAGAGGGAGATGGAGGAGTTCAAGGCTCTGGAGGAGGAGTTCAGAAAAGAGCAAGAGGTAATTGATTTGATTCTATTCATAGTACAATTGAGGGTCCATGTTCACTCCTACTGGCAAATGGGAGGGCCAGGAGGTGAGTTTACAGTAGTGATGGCCAAATGAAGCCTCGCGAAGCATTTTCTTTATTTTCTGAGCCCACTAGATGGTGCTCATGGTTTAAAGAGAAAGGCTCAAAGAGTGGTAATTCAGTGTGCTTTCAACCTTTACCTGAACAAAAAGCACCATCTAGTGGGCTCAGAAAATAAAGAAAATGCTTCATGAGGCTTCATGAGGCCATCAGTAGTTTACAGTCCTCCTACTGCCAACAATGGGTGAAACTGAAACTAGGAGTTAATGTCCAAATATCCAACTTTAAACTAACTTCACTGTGCTGGTGCAGCTGGCTTGACCGCAGTGTTTTGGACTGGGCTAGACCGTGGAACAAGAGGTTGGAGCATGTCCAGTCAGCATGCTTGCTAAGTGTCCAGTCCACGTGGTCACAAAAAATGGGCTGCACATGGACGTCCACATAGGGACCCTGTAAACCCTTGCTGACGTGGGTGGATGATGACATTTACGTCAAGGGGACCACAGCAGACCCTTGCGTGAACCATGAATTGGCACCTACTGTAATGAAGTAATGATTAAAATAAAGCATTATACTGTATATGCCATCCATCCATTTTCTACCACTTATTGGGCACTGGGTTGCATTAGCTATGGAAATCAAGAACTGTTCTTCTAGTTGAGAACCAGTTACAAATCATCCAGTCAATGCAATGTGAGCTTAAATTCCAGGAATGCCATTTGACACTGCACACGAGTGCCACTGCTTCCCAACCAAGCAGCACAGCTGTTACCGAAGTTAAATAGCCAATATTTTAATAACATTAGTGCCACATAGGCAGGCTTAGCAGATTTTTTTAATTCACTAAGAAACCCTAAATGAAAATGTGTGCTGTACAAATATTTTGTCATTTCATCTACACTGTGTTCAGGCTCAGAGATAATAAAACAGTTGTACTGATCTAGCATTCTGTGCAGTCGGTGCGCTTCATGCTTGATTGCAAACCACCCCAGTGCATGCAGAAGGTCACAGTCTGAAGCCAACAGAGCCACATCATCTGAAGAGAACTGAAACGCAATTCTGAGGTCCACAACAGATTTAGTACCCCTACAGAACTCCCATAGGGATAAGGTTGTAAAGATTCCCAAGTCCACCCAATGTGTACAGACTGTATGGGAAAACTTCCATAACCCACCTAACAACCCTTCAAGGGTATAAAAGCCGGTCCACTGTTTCATGACCAGGATGGAATCCACATAACACCTCCAGAATCTGACACTTTGACAGAAATTCTTCCTTTTCTTTTGATATGTATTAATAATTTGAAATTACAATTCTTTTTCTGCTCCTCTTGACAGATTCAGAGGCTGACTGAGGAGCTTGAGAGTGTGCGAGCAGAGAGAGACAGTCTGCTCTCTGGGAAGGAAGCCAGCTGTCAGACCTCCACAGAGGAGATGGAGAAGCTGCTGTGCAGAGTGACGTCTCTCACTGAGGAGAGAGATCAGCTGCAGGAGATACTGGAGGGACTGAGACAGGAGAAGCAGCAGCTCAAAGCAGAACTGGAGGACAAGATGGAGATGGTAGGTTATTACTGATGCTTCTAAAGTGTTTTTCATTTATAAGTGATTATTTCATATCTTTTAAATCACAGTCTGCCTAGACAGACAAAGAAAAAATTAATTTTTCTATCTTTCGCAGGTTGCACAAGTCCAATGTGGGTTTAACCAGCCAGAAGGACTGGCCTCAGAACTGCACCAACAGGATGCCCAAGTAACCCACCTTCAGCAAGAGGTAACAGTAGTTAAGTTAATGAAGTCTGATATTTTAGAATTTTCTTATTGTTGACAAATCCCATGAAAAGACCCAAATCTACTTACAAGTATAGTATGTATGTATCAAAGCCTGATATCTTTCTCTTTGCCACAGAGCTCCATTGTTGTGAACAACTGTTGAAACACATCACATCATCAGTGAGCTCCACTGTTGCACTGAGTGACATGTTGTTCTTTTATTACCATGAACACACTATTTTGACTCGAATACACCATCCCTCTGTCACAAATACTCACTAATACACCAAATGTGTATTAATCCGCTACTGAAAATAGTCCCCAACAAAGGCACCGTTTGCTCCTGTCTGAGTAACATTTGCTAAAAACTACTGTGTCCAATTGTTTTAGGAGATTACTGAGGCTTTTTAAAAATTCTGGAGCAAAAGAAATAAAACTAAACTTGCAAACTCTCCGGTAGGAACCAGTGGGAAGGGAAGTGAAAGTTATGAGAAAGGGACTTAAACACTTGGTTTTGGTCTCTTCACAGGATTTGTTGACAAAAAGCAAAACATGGATTAAAGGCAAGCTTATTCTTCAAAACTTTGCTTCTTGACTGAAAATACTTTAATTGATTTGTCTATTTTCCTCCACAGATAGAGCAACTACAGACAACTTTACAGGCCGTCAGTGAGCAGAAGACCCAGCTGGAAGCTGATCTGCAGCATAATACAGAGATGGTGAGGGGGAGTTGTTTGTGGTCAAATTGAGATCTAATTTTTCAGGGTTAAGCGTGCTCACACTGCCAGTGATGTCTTTGCCCCAAAATCTTCATATATTTTCCTCGTGCGGATGAATGGGAAATATGCAACTTTTTCTCTTTGCAGGCTGCAGAGACGCAGAGCCTTTTGCATTCACTTCAACAAGAACTCCAAGAGCAGAATCAAAGAAACGCTGACCTAGAAAGACTCAGCCAAGAGAGGCAAGCTCATCTATAACAAGAGGTTAGTTCCTTACAACACATTTCACCAAAGTTATGTTTTCAGAAGTACTGTATGCTCTGTAATTCAGATCAGATCAAAAAGTGCTCTCTTATTTTTAGGTTGCAGAGACTCTGAGTCTTCTACATTCTCGTCAAGAGGAGCTTCAAGAGCAGAAGCAAAATAACTCTGATCAAATGAAACTCTGTGAGCAGAAGGAATCTGACTTAGAACAACAGGTGAGTTAAACTGTTAATGAAGGATATTTTTTTAAACTGCTCCTTCACTGTCAGTGTTCTGACTACTAGTATGAAATCTTCCCATTTACACAGACCAAGACTCTAAGTGAGCAGCTTGAGAGTCTACAAGCAGAAAGGGATGCCCTGTTGTCTGAGAAGGAATCCAGCTGTCAGACCTCCAAAGAGGAGATGGAGAAGCTGCTGTGCAGAGTGACGTCTCTCAGTGAGGAGAGAGATCAGCTGCAGGAGGCACTGGAGGGACTGGGACAGGAGAAGCAGCAGCTCAAAGCAGAGCTGGAGGACAGGATGGAGATGGTAAAAGCTTTGGCTGAAAACTGTAAAGTGAGAGCTGCTGATTGCTGTTTCTTGGGGAAAATACCTGCATGGGACCTGTGATTTTTTTTTTTAACGTATGTGTGGTCACAGCCTATCATGTACTGACATTAAGTTATTTTCCAAATCACCATGACAATTATGCACAACGGTCATTACAGCAAGATAACTGGAATAAATTTGTTTCTGGTGTTGTTTCGCCGGTCACACATTATATTAACGTGCTGTGTACAGTCGAGCAGTTTGGTAAAATATTTTTTAGGTAGAGTGAACTGGATCAAATGCAAAATCTTTATGGTAATTATTTAAATATGTTTAATAAGTGGCTTCACCAGATTTGCAGATGTTTATCCTGAGTGAGAGCAGGAGGGCCTATTGTAAAGTAGTGTTCAATAGGACAAGTGCAGAAATCATGCGAAAAGAATATTTCACCCACAAAATGACCATTTGTGTACCAATTGAAAGCTTGGATTTCTCCACAGTGGAGAATCCTAAAACAGAGAAAATCCTTAATGAATTGAAGTCATAGGGGTCCACATTTAATTTCTTTTTTTGTCATAAAAGGCTGTCTGTGTGGGAAGCACTGAGCATAAGACTGTATATAAGACTTGGATTATACTGCACAAGTTGTGTGAGAGTTTGTAAATGGATGTTTTGATAAAGTTTTGCTGTTGTTAAATGCAGAGCCCTATGACTTTAGTTCATCAAGGATTTTCTCCATTCTTCATGCACTGTGGAGACGTGAGAAAAATAAACTTTTCTTCTTTTTCTTTCTTCAAACTGAGGTCATATTGTTCTTTCATGTGTTCTCTCTGTTGTACAGATGCAGTGTGAGTTACAGCAGCAGCTCAGCTCTGAACCTCAGTCTCTGAAAGAAGAACAGGAGGCTCAACGACTTCTGCAGGTTAGATTATGTCATTCAGTCTTACACTACAGTTACATTTCTACATTTTTATTTTGATCCACTTCATTGAGCATTTGTCCCTGATACTGAGTAAGACTTCTGAATAAAGCACGAAACAGCTTGCTGCACTGAGCTCCATACGACATTCACTCACTTCGGAACTTAATGGTTTTTATTTTATATTGTTGCTCATGCATTGAGGTATGTTAGAGAGCACATAAAGGTCTTGTGAGAAAATGTGAGTAATACTGAAAATGTTAAAGTTTGCCTACATTGTGCTTCAGAACCAACAGCTGGAGGAGCATCTGGAGAAAACTGAGGAGGTGAGCCAGCTGAAGTCTGACCTTCAGGAAAATGTAGAACTGGTGAGTTCTTTTCTTCCCAAGTAGTGATGGTGAGCTCTGGTTTTAGCCCAGTGTTAAGATACATTTAAGGGTTCTGATGAAATACACAAAGAAACTTCCTATTCTAAATGTTAAGACAATAAATTTGCTCTTACATATGATGAAGAAAAACCGCACATTGCTGAATATGAGAATCTGGAATCAGATTAATTTTTATCATTTTTTCTTGGAAAAAGGACTAATGATTAATCAATTATCAGATTAGTTGCTAATTTTATTTTGATGGATTAATCAACTCATTGTTTCAGCTCTAGTAATGAGTCAGCCCAAGACTTCCCTGGTGGTGGATGGGAGACAGTTGACCCTGTTATTGTCCACTCCTTTTCAGTGATTATTGTATGGAAAAGATCTTCACTTCTCCACTCATGTGGTTGCAATGCCTTTCAGATGATTGAGGTCCAGGATGAGCTGAGAGAGTCTCAGGAGAAGATCAGAGTTCTAAAAGATGAGATCAATGTGCTGAAGAGTCAAAAGGCAGAGCTGGAGGGCAAAGTAAGTGATGTGGGCGATGCAGATATTTCCCTCCAGATGCAAGAGCTCCAAACTCAGGCAGGACTACATTTTATACATAAAGAACACTCAGAGGGAACCTGATGTGTGATGCTGGCTGTCATCTCTTGAATAGATTTTGAAATAATTTTATAACCATCTAAACTCCATTTACGTGGGCCAGATTTGTTAAATTTCTTTTAAGGAAACTTATTTAGTTCATGTCACTCTCAATATCTGAATTTACAATTAGGTCTCTATTCTTTCCTGACAGATTCAGAGACTGACTGAGGAGCTCGAGAGCATGCGAGCAGAGAGAGACAGTCTGCTCTCTGGGAAGGAAGCCAGCTGTCAGACCTCCACAGAGGAGATGGAGAAGCTGCTGTGCAGAGTGACATCTCTCACTGAGGAGAGAGATCAGCTGCAGGAGATACTGGAGGGACTGAGACAGGAGAAGCAGCAGCTCAAAGCAGAGCTGGAGGACAGGATGGAGATGGTAGGTTATTACTGGTTCTTGTAAAGTGTTGCTTTTGACTGATTTTTTTCATATCTTTTAAATCACAGTCTGCCTAGACAGACAAAGAAAAAATTAATTTTTCTATCTTTCGCAGGTTGCACAAGTCCAATGTGGGTTTAACCAGCCAGAAGGACTGGCCTCAGAACTGCACCAACAGGATGCCCAAGTAACCCACCTTCAGCAAGAGGTAACAGTAGTTAAGTTAATTAAATCTGATATTTTAGAATTTTCTTATAGTTGACAAATCCCATGGAAAGACCCAAACCAGCAATTAGTGTTTCCTACATACAAATACTGTCTGTCTGTCTTCCTTCCTCTGTGCCACAGAGCTCCAATGTTGTCAGAACTATTAAACACATCAATTGGCCACACTGTTGTACTGGGTGACATGTTGCTCTTTTATTACCATGAACACACACACACACACTATAGTTTATTTTGACTCACATACACTGTCCTTCTGTCACAAATACTCACTAAAGCACCAAATGAGAATTAATCCAATCCTGCAAATAATCCCAACAAAGGCACTGTTTGCGCCAGTCAGAGTTCGTTTGCTATAAACTACTGTGTCCAATTGTTTTAGAAAATCACTCAGCCTTTAAGAATTGTTTAAAAAAAAAAAAAAAACTAAACTTGCACACTCCTCAGTAAGAACCGATGGGTGGGGAAGGCAAAGTTATGAGAAACAGACTCACATACTTGGTTTTGGTCTCTTCATGGGATTTTTTTGACAATAAGAAAAATAGCCTTATCTTCAAAACTCTGTTTCTTGACTGAAAATACTTAAATTATGGAATGTCTCCATTTTCTTACACAGATAGAGCAACTACAGGCAACTTTGCAGGCCGTCAGTGAGCAGAAGAGCCAGCTGGAAGTTGATCTGCAGCATAATATGGAGATGGTGAGGGGGAGTTGTTTGTGGTCAAACTGAGATTTAATGATTTAATGTTTAAAGGAACTATATATGATATTTAGAGCATACCTTTGATCCAGAGTCTGATTCTGGTTGTCTGCACACGGTTCTCAACATGGAGCCGGCTGAGCCGGCAGCCAGCAGCTTTTGGTGCTAACAGCAGCAGCAGCTCTGACAGAGTTTACAGTGTTAACCTGGGAGGGAAGCAGAGGGTGGGCACTACACTTCCCCTATGACGCTATAGATCAGGATGGTGTTATTAGCAGTAACTGACATATGGGCGCAGTGCAGAGTAGTGGTGATTAGCTAACCAGTGGGATACGCATATTGGGCCTCACATGCAGTAACAGGCACGCAAGGCAGACCTTCTGCCTCAGCAATAAACAGAGAAGCTTGGATTACAAAAACAGGAAGCATGGCTTTATTCTCTGCTCAGGACGCCATTACTCCACTATATCTTTACATAGCAAATAGTTGTTTGCTGCCATATTAATGCTTTGAGTGATTATACAGCTCCTTTATGTGTGGTCACACTGTGAAAAAGCTTTCAATTTTTGTGTAGATGAAAAGAAATGCAACTTTTTCTCTTTGCAGGCTGCAGAGACGCAGAGCCTTTTGCATTCACTTCAACAAGAACTCCAAGAGCAGAATCAAAGAAACGCTGACCTAGAAAGACTCAGCCAAGAGAGGCAAGCTCAGCTAGAACAAGAGGTTAGTTCCTCACAACACATTTCACCAAAGCTATGTTTAAAGTCCCTTTTCAGAAGTACTGTGTGCTCTGTAATTCAGATCAGATCAAGAAGTGCTCTCTTATTTTTAGGTTGCCAGGACTCAGAGTCTTCTACATTCTCTTGAAGACGAGCACCAGGAGCTAAAGCAAAATAACTCTGATCATATGAAACTCTGTGAGCAGAAGGAATCTGGCTTAGAACAACAGGTGAGTTAAACTGTTAATGAGGGATAATTTATAAACTCATCCTTCACTGTTGGTATGTTAGTTGAAAACCTCCCGTTTAAACAGACTAAAAATCTAACAGCAACTTGAGAGTGTAATGTGGTAAAATTTGCTAATAATTTCCAGTTTTCTTTAATGTGTTCTGTTTAAAAAAGTATTTTGTGTTTGGGTTGTTTTGCAAATAATTGGAAGATGAATAATCAGCCCATATTTGCTTCAACAGATAGCACAGCTGAACATGTCTCTCCAGGCTGTGACTGAGCAGAAGAGGCAGGTGGAATATGATCTACAACAGAACATAAATATGGTGAGACAACTGGTCTTCATAACAGAGTCTAACTGCAATCATACTTCTTTTTTTTTGACAGTTTTGTAACTTGTTGATTGTAGGAATAATTTACTTTGTGCCTTTCCTTAAAGGATATTTTAGTTTTTAATACATTTCAACAGTTCTCGTTTTGCTAATTTTTCTGCTCCTGTTGACACATATGCATATTTGATTGACTAAATTTAAGATTTTGTTTTAAGGCTTCTACAACTCGAGAACTTCTGAAGTCAGTCCAAGAGGAGCTGTGTGAACAGAAGCAGATGAACTCTGATCTGGAAAAGAAGGAAAGCTCCTTTGATCAACAGGTTGGTGTTTAATACCTCACTCTCTTTTAAATGGCAAGGATTTGCTTTTATGAAGCTTGTTTTCAGAGCAGTGGCCCTTCTAATTGTTCCCTTCCTCACAGGTGAGGACTCTGACAGAGAAACTGGAGAGCATTGAGGCAGAGAGAGACAGTCTGCTCTCTGAGAAGGAAGCCAGCTGTCAGACCTCCACAGATGAGATGGAGAAGCTGCTGTGCAGAGTGACGTCTCTCAGTGAGGAGAGAGATCAGCTGCAGGAGACGCTGGAGGGACTGAGACAGGAGAAGCAGCAGCTCAAAGCGGAGCTGGAGGACAGGATGGAGAGGGTAAAAGCTTTGGCTGAATACTATAAATTGAAATTGCAGTATATCCCAGGCATCATCTCTGAAATCTGGTTGTGTTGCTCGGGAAATACCCATGAAGAAACCTGTGTGCGTGCGTGCGTGCGTGCGTGCGTGCGTGCGTGCGTGCGTGCGTGCGTGTGTGTCTTCACAGACTGAAGACTATCATGGACTGAAACAAAACTAGTATCTCAAAACCACACTGTCAGTTCTACACAGCTGTTCGAACTTAATATTAATATTGTTGCAGTCATTACAGTAACATGACTGAATTAAAATAGCAAATTTAATTTTTTCTGCTCATGTACCACTTTCATTCCAGCAGTGTGGTAAAATATTTTCTAGGCAAGGTGAACTGATAAGTTTGCTTTTTTTTTTCCAAGTTCAATAAGTGGCTTCGCCAGATTTGCAGATGTCTATTCTGTTCAAACTCAAATCAAACTTCATTTATGCTAAGTGAATCTAATGATATATTCCCTGAAAATCATCATTTCCAGCACATACTGAAGTCCTACTGTTCTCTCATGTGTTCTCTCTGTTGTTCAGATGCAGTGTGAGTTACAGCAGCAGCTCAGCTCTGAGCCTCAGTCGCTGAAAGAAGAACAGGAGGCTCAAACACTTCTGCAGGTTAGATTATGTCACTCATTTATTCTCATTCTTAAACATATTAATATTGTTGCTCATACATTCAGGTATGTTCTAGAGCAGATATTTGTGAGAAAATATGGGTAATACTGAAAATGTTAAAGTTTCCCTACATTGTGCTTCAGATCCAACAGCTGGAGGAGCATCTGGAGAAAACTAAGGAGGAGGTGAGCCAGCTGAAGTCTGACCTTCAGGAAAATGTAGAACTGGTGAGTTTTTTCCTTCCCATCAGCAAAATACAGTTTGGGGCTCTGATAAAATACACTGATGATTTCCACTTCTTCTTACATTTCTGTCCTATGTTTTTTTTTGGTTTTTTTTTTAAATGTTGTCTGCATTTGGATTTTTGCAGATATTTACAGTATGAATAATCAGCCCATATTTGCTTCAGCAGATAGCACAGCTAAATATGTTTGTACAGTTACTTCTGTTTGTTTTGTCCAACTCACAGCTTCAAACCTTAAGATATTCAGTTTAATGTTGTATATGATGAAGGAAATTGCCACAATCGACTAATCGTTGCAGCTCTAGTAATGAGTCAGCCCAAGACTTCCCTGGTGGTGGATGGGAGACGTTGACCCTGTTATTGTCCACTCCTTTTCAGTGATTATTGTATAGAAAAGATCTTCACTTCTCCACTCATGTGGTTGCAATGTCTTTCAGATGATTGAGAACCAGGAGGAGCTGAGAGAGTCTCAGGAGAAGATCAGAGTTCTAAAAGATGAGATCAGCATGCTGAAGAGTCAAAAGGCAGAGCTGGAGGGCAAAGCAAGCAATGGGAGCGATGCAGATATTTCCCTCCAGATGCAAGAGCTCCAAACTCAGGCAGGACTACATTTTATACATAAAGAACATTCAGAGGGAACCTGATGTCTTATGCTGGCTGTTAACGCATTTTGAAATTATTTGATTGTTATCTGAACTCCATGAATCTTTTACGGATTTTGATATTTCTTTTAAGAAGCTTATTTAAATCCAAATCTTATATACATGTCACTTTAAATCTTTAAATTTACAATTAGGTCTCTATTCTTTCCTGACAGATTCAGAGGCTGACTGAGGAGCTTGAGAGTGTGCGAGCAGAGAGAGACGGTCTGCTCTCTGGGAAGGAAGCCAGCTGTCAGACCTCCAAAGAGGAGATGGAGAAGCTGCTTTGCAGAGTGACGTCTCTCACTGAGGAGAGAGATCAGCTGCAGGAGGCACTGGAGGGACTGAGACAGGAGAAGCAGCAGCTCAGAGCAGAGCTGGAGGACAGGATGGAGACAATGCAGACTGAGGTTTCTATCTGATAACTTTACTTCCATCCATTATAGGGTTGCACACATTTTCTGTATTGACAGTAGTAGTTGTAATAGAAAATTTAGATTAAATATGGTTTAAACTGCAACTAGACTTAAAGAGACACTTGAATGACCCTTCTTACTGTTTCCTTCCTCACAGGTGAGGACTCTGACAGAGAAACTGAAGTGCATTGAGGCAGAGAGAGACAGTCTGCTCTCTGAGAAGGAAGCCAGCTGTCAGACCTCCACAGAGGAGATGGAGAAGCTGCTGTGCAGAGTGACGTCTCTCACTGAGGAGAGAGATCAGCTGCAGGAGATTCTGGAGGGACTGAGACAGGAGAAGCAGCAGCTCAGAGCAGAGCTGGAGGACAGGATGGAGACAATGCAGACTGAGGTTTGTGACAAGTTGTGCTGTCCTCTCTTTCCATTACACTTAGTTTTGTAGTAAGGTAATGTTCAGACAAAACTCACTTGGTAAAGTTTTTAGCCCACCATTCTGTCATTTAATGTAGATAAATAATCAGCCAATATCTGTTTCAACAGATAGCACAGCTGAACATGTCTCTCCAGACTGTGACTGAGCAGAAGAGGCAGGTGGAAAATGATCTACAGCAGAACATGAATATGGTGAGACAACTGGTCTTCATAACAGAGTCTGACTTAGCTAAAATCATATGGCTGGGCGCAGTTTTGTACTCTATGGGTTTTGCAAATAATTTTTTGTGTCTTTTCAGTATTAGGTATTGAAGTAGTTTTTAATTCATTTCTACGGTTCTCATCTCCTTATTTTTCTGTTCCTGTTGACACATATGCATATTTGATTGACTAAACTTAAGATTTTGTTTTAAGACTTCTACAACTCAAGAACTTCTGAAGTCAGTCCAAGAGGAGCTGTGTGAACAGAACCAGATGAACTCTGATCTGGAAAAACTGTGTCAGGAGAAGGAAAGCTCCTTAGATCAACAGGTTGGTGTTTAATACCTCACTCACTTATAAATAGCAATGATTTGCTTTTATGAAGCTTCTTGTTAGCAAGATTATTCTTCTAACTACTCCCTTCCTCACAGATGAGGACTCTTACTGAAACACTGAAGAGCATTGAGGCAGAGAGAGACAGTCTGCTCTCTGAGAAGGAATCCAGCTGTCAGACCTCCACAGATGAGATGGAGAAGCTGCTGTGCAGAGTGACGTCTCTCACTGAAGAGAGAGATCAGCTGCAGGAGACACTGGAGGGACTGAGACAGGAGAAGCAGCAGCTCAGAGCAGAGCTGGAGGACAGGATGGAGACAATGCAGACTGAGGTTTGTCACAAGTTGTGCTGTCCTCTGTTTCCATCACAGTTAGTTTTGTAGTAAGGTCATTTTGAGACAAAACTCAATTTGTGGGGGCGTCGGTAGCTTAGTGGTAGAGCAGGCGCCCCATGTACAAGGCTGTTGCCGCAGCGGCCTGGGTTCGAGTCCAGCCTGTGGCCCTTTGCTGCATGTCATCCTCTCTCTCTCTCCCCCTTTCACACTTAACTGTCCTGTCCATTAAAGGCAAAAAATGCCCCAAAAAATATCTTTTTACAAAAAAAAAACCCTCAATTTGAAAAGTTTTTAGCCCACCATGCTGTCATCTAACGTAGCTCTGATACGGTACAATGACACAGCTTTAAAAAAAAATTAAAGGCAGAAATGCAGCTCAAAAAATGCAAGTAAAATTTGGGGGCTTCATGACTGATGATTTAGACCATGCCTGCTTGGGGGGGGGGGGGGTAGCGGTAGAGTATTATAGTTGTATTAGGAAGAAAAAAAATCAGTGCATCCTTAATCTCTAGTTTTTAGCAAAGATATGTTGGTATCTGGCGTTTGGTGTCTGCAATTTTCTTTTTACTTGTTGAAAATGTACGGAGATATGTGTGAGGTCATGTAGAAACTGTCTCCATTACAGCATTCATCTGCCAGAGATCACTGACAAGTTTATTTTTTTACTGTAAAATGTCCTGCTTCATACAAATCTTAGTCACATGTCATTAAGAACAAAACCACTAAGATACATTTTGGGGTGTTGTTGTAAAATACACTGATAATTTAAAGTTTTTCTTACATTTCTTTCCTATGTTCCATTAAAAGTGTTGTCTGTGTTTGGGATGTTTTACAAATATTTGGAATATATATAATCTCTACTTCAACAGATAGCACAGCTGAATATGTCTCTCCAGGCTGTGACTGAGCAGAAGAGGCAGGTGGAATATGATCTACAGCAGAACATGAATATGGTGAGACAACTGGTCTTCATAACAGAGTCTGACTCAGCTAAAATCATATGGCTGGGCGCAGTTCTGTACGAATAATTTTTTGTGCCTTTCGTTGTTGGATATTTAAGTAGTTTTTAATGCATTTCTAAGGTTCTCATTTTTCTATTTTTCTGCTCCTGTTGACACATGTGCATATTTGATTGACTAAACTTAAGATTTTGTTTTTAGGCTTCTACAACTCAAGAACTTCTGAAGTCAGTCCAAGAGGAGCTGTGTGAACAGAAGCAGATGAACTCTGATCTGGAAAAACTGTGTCAGGAGAAGGAAAGCTCCTTTGATCAACAGGTTGGTGTTTAATACCTCACTCCCTTATAAATAGCAAGGATTTGCTTTTATGAAGCTTGTTTTCAGAGCAGTGGCCCTTCTAATTGTTCCCTTCCTCACAGGTGAGGACTCTGACAGAGAAACTGAAGAGCATTGAGGCAGAGAGAGACAGTCTGCTCTCTGAGAAGGAAGCCAGCTGTCAGACCTCCACAGAGGAGATGGAGAAGCTGCTGTGCAGAGTGACGTCTCTCACTGAGGAGAGAGATCAGCTGCAGGAGATACTGGAGGGACTGAGACAGGAGAAGCAGCAGTTCAGAGCCGAGCTGGAGGACAGGATGGAGATGGTACATTTTTGTACCTATAAAGTCATGTGCAACTTGGACAAACCGACAGCTTCAAAGACACTTGTATAATGTCAGTTAATTTATGTTCTCTTCCAACTGCAGATTTCAGGCATCCAGGAGAGGCTGAGCGAGCAGGAAAATTTGAACTCACAGCAGCAGCCAGAGAGAGGAGAACAAGAGACCAAGCTGCAACGAAGAGTAGGTCCAAATTATTTACTGTCATAGTTTTCAAGGTATCATTTAATGTTTTGGAGAATGAATTTGTTCACGTTCTTCCCAAGAGGAATTGGTGAGGATTGATGCCACTGTTACATCTGTGTAAATATAAAACTACAGCTAGCAGCCACTTAGCTTAGCTTAGCTTAGCATAAAGACTGAAAACAGGTGGTAACAAGTAGACTGGCTCCTAGACTGGAAACCATCTGCCTACCAGCACCTCTAAAACTCACTAATTAGCATGTTATATCTCTCTGTTATATCTATTAGCTGCCAGACTATTTCTTGGCTGGGTGCAGATACCTCCTGGAGTCTCCACTGATTGCCTGGCAACCTCAGGATGACCACAAGACTCCAGGAAGTTGCCACGCCTGTATTTGTAATTTCCTGTGCAGTGAGGGAATTATATCTCCTTTTATAGTTTGTAAACAAAGATGACACACTTAAGTGTGTGATCGAAATATGGCAATGGAAGTGTGGCACAGTGCAGTAGCTTGCTGAGCTATACAAGGGCATTACCCACCAAAGATGTGGTCAGATATATACATGTATTTGATGTAGAAACATCTCCAAACTCAACTGAGAAATTAGGAGCATGCAAGTCACTCAGTATTTATGTAATCTTACCAAATATAACAAGCTATTTCGATCTCATGCCCTCTTGAGTTCTTGAGCCCTCTTGGCTCTGCTGGCTCTGAGGTAGATTTAACATGCTGAATCAGCAGGAACAAAGCCGACAAGGGCCGACAAGTGCTAACAGTGCAGGGCACACTGCAAAAACTATGGCGACAGACACTCACCAAAGGCCCAGAGTGTCCGGTTGGTGTGTCAGGGCCCTTAGTTTCAGCAAGTGTCTCCACATGTATCTGTTTCTGTTTGCTGTGATGCCTGTTTTTAATGACGTGTTACTGCCCCTGTTGTTGTTCGCAGGTGCAGCAGCTCGAGGAGCAACTTCAAACATACAGGGAGAGACACAGTCATGCTGAAGCTGAAGCTGAAACCTCACAGCAGGTTTGTCACCAGTTCTACTTGAGTCATTAGTTGTTTTGTTTTTGTTTGTTTCATTTTTTATCATCTTCATTTAATTTGATTTCATTTGTTGAAATTATCAAGATCTCTTGTCACCTGAGAAACCTGAGTACAGCAGAGAAATAGAACAAAGATAAAATGCACAACAAAACACACAAGCACATACAAACAGCATCAGAACCGGTCACACACATCTCTAAAAAGGTCCACAATTTATTTTAAATTCATCAAGTGGGAAGAGTCTTTCAAGTTTTAGGTAATAATTTCATTTATATGGTATAAAGCACGGGAAGGCAGGCTTCCCAAGGGAAGAAAGAAAAAGAGTTAAGTCCTGGGATCTGCTCTGATGAACAGCAGAGAACAGCATTCAGAACAGGTTTGAGGTTCTGCAGAGGTGTCTGACAAGGCAGATTGTAATCTAGATATAGTTTGAGATGAAAACGAGCCATATGCATACAAGATTGTATCATTATATATTATATTATTATGTTTTAGAGGTTTTATTTTGTCTCTTGTCCTTTCAGTTGCTCAGTGAAGCGAAGACAACCATCTCTGCCCTTAAAGAGCAGCTGAGCAGTTTGGAGCAGAGCACCAGTAGAGTCAAGGAGACAGCATCATCACGACTGCAGGACTCTACAAGGCAGCTTCAGGTAACGTCTTCTGTTATTTTGATTAATCAGCAGCTAAAAAGCAAAGACATTCTAGCATAAGAGGTTAATATAACTTATACCACTCAACTCATCATTGCAGGAGTCCTTCAAAAAATTCCAGCACCTTATAGACACTTGTTCCAAGTATAACTCCACAGCATTGGACAAGGTGCAGTGTTCCCTGAAGCACCCTTATCTGGCCTCTCTACCAAAACCCACCATGAATGCCTACAGCACTGTGTGTCAGTTGCAGCTGCAGACAACTCAGAGTCTGGGAAACATTATGGTAAATACCAGTATTTTTTCCATTTTAAATTTCAAGGGTCTAACTGTTGATCAGGTGATAACCTGGAAACCTCTGCTCTCTTTTTTCCCAGGAGCACCTCCAGGTGCGAGCACAGGGCTACAGGAATCTGTTTGAGGAGTTGGTGAAGAAAGATCTGGCTGTTTTTGAAGAGAGGCGTCTGCAAGATGTGCTGCTGTGCAGAGCACAGGCACCCTGCTACTCTGTCAGAGACGAAGACTTTCACACACTTTGGCACCACAGACTGACGGAGCTGCTGAACAAGAGGCAGCTCTACCTGCAGGTAAGATTGTGGGGCTGTGTAAGCAAACAAGTTAAAATGGGGCTTTACAGTTGGGTCAGTCAGCAAGTGAATTTATCCAGAGTAGTTTCAAGTATAAAAATATTTTAAAAAATACACTGTAGGAGAATTCAGTGACACATATCTCACCAATGTTGTGGTTTTTCTAAACTGTGACTTCTGGATAACATGTGATTGTGTCCTATTCCTCTATATGTTTTCATTCTCTAACATTTCTGCATTGAAACTTTCTCATGACTCTTTTGGTTTTGTAGAAAATGGCCAGCATTTCAAGTACGCTGTGTGCCAACATGGCGTCTTATCCCAGTGAGCTGTCCGCTGAGATCAGACACAGGGAGAGATTCAAGGAGCAGCTGCAGACCTTGCTTAACAAGCAGCCATTTAGCCTCAGTGGGCTGGACAGCATCCTGAGCAGTGAGCTGGACCACAGATCTTCAGTGGCACACAACCGGAAGATGATTCTGCAGGTAGGGTTTAACATTCACTTGGTTTCAGGCTACTGTTCACTAATGAGAATGTTATTATGACTATTATACTCATTTTATGGTAATATACCTCCCTAATTCCTCCACACTGGTTCTTAAATCTTCATCATAATTGTCTTTACTAGCAAGTGAGTTGCTAGGTTTATTTGCCTGTTGTGGCATTTCACTTGCTTGTCTTAATAATGTCATACTATGCACCTGACTCCTGCAGGGCATCATCGATGAACAGAATGGTCTGTTTGAAGAGCTGAAGCTGCTTGAGGCTCAGGCTGATTTACAATTCAGAGAGGAGAGAAGTAAGAGTTCCACTCTGCTGCAGGCACTGGAGGGAGCTCCTCTGAAAACTGAGCTCTCTCTACTCAAGGACAACCAGCAACTTGTGCTTCAGCTCCAGCAAACAGAAGAACAAGTTGAGGTATGTCTAACGTATCTGTTCAATGTCTGATTTATATTTGCTTAAGACTACTGCCATCATGTAGTAACAGTGATCTTAAACTAGGCTGTTTTTTTACTCACTAGTTTATCCACTATATTATTAAAATCCAAAGCTCTGAGCAGATTCGAATCATTTGAGATGAGACACCTTTGAATCATCTTATTAAGTCACTTAAATAAGTGCCTTCTTGTACAGTTTGTTATGGGCCAAGACAGTTTAAACTCACTTGGTTGCAAATAATAAGTAGCTAATATTCAAAGATTTATTTATTTTTTGGTCAATAAATCTGCAGACACAAAGTGTGTGTGCGTGTGTCAAAACCTTAGATGTCTTCTACCTCTGTCCCATACAGCTTCACTGTTGTCTTAAAACATATAAGTGAGCCACACTGTTGCAGTGGGTGACAGGCTCCCTCATCACCATGAACACATTCCTTTTTTTTTTTGACTCAATCTCACACACACACACACACACACACAGCACCCAAAGACTCACTAGAGCACCAAATGTGGATTAATCCATCACCAAAATAGTCCCCAGCAGGTGCACTATTTCCTTCTTTTTATGTCATGTTTGATTACAGTGGGTTTCCCGTGGCTCCTTAAAAAGTCTTAGAATGCATTGAATTCATCTAAAAATAAGGCCCTGATTGGTATTAAAATGTCTTTCAAAAGTCTTAATTCTAATGCATGGGTTTTATCAACTTTCTGACTTTGTATTGTAAAATAATGCTCAACGGCAAAAACGTCCACTTGGACTCAGCGATGAGCTGATTAGATGTTGGTGGTCAAAGTCAAGGTCACTGTGACCTTGTGTCCCTCTCATTCTTGTGAACGCAATATCTCAAGAAGAATAGAGAGTGAACTAATTAGAATTTGGTGGTCAAAGGTCAAGATCACTGTGACCTCACAAAATATGTTTTTGGCCATGTTTTTAAGTTGGAGAAACCCTGAAAAACTAAGTTGACAAGCTGTTTTTAGGAAATCACTGAGCCTTTAAAAAATGTTGGGTTTTTTTCTTTCTTTTTTTCCCGCTGTTTATAAATATTTATATCTGCAGTAGGAACCACTGTGCTCAGGGGTTGGGTCTCCTCATGGGACAAAAATATATAGCTTGTATGGGTCAGTTGATTTCTTCTCTTCCACACTTGTCTCTATGCGTAGCAGTTGTATCCAACCTCTCATCTCAACGTGGCACGACTGGGAAACTTGTCTATATGCAGGTGGTGACTGACATGTTTCTGTTTCCCAGGCTCTGCGTGTACATAATAAGCAGCTGGAGGAAGCTCAGATCAAAGCCAACAATAGGGTGTCCAACCACAAACAGGCTACCCAGCTGCTGCAGACAGAGCTGCAGGACACCCGCGCACAAGTTGAGGATAAAGACAATGCAATCCAAGCCCTTAGGAGCAAACTGCGAGAGTCTGAGGTTTGTCTTATGATTGCATTTTCAGGCCCATTGTTACAAACTTTATAGTCTTTTGTTAAAGCAGTTTATGTTTTGGTTTTGGTTTGGTTTTTGTAAATATTTGTCTTTCTGCTTTAGAAAAATGCATCACCCAGTGCTGTTGAGCTGGAAAAACTCCGCACTAAACTGTTCAAAATGGAGGTGGAGCTGAGTTCAGCATCTGATAACCACAAAAAAGAGTAAGATCCCTTTGGTTGCTTTCTTACCCTTTGCTTTGTTTCTTCTCCTGTTTTTTGTCTCATTTAATGACTGTTCTTAGTGGGTTGTTGTAATGTCAGGATTTCTTTGGTTCCATTTCTTTAGTTCTTTTTCAAAATGTGTTGGCAGATGGTGAAAGAGGCTTCCTTGTCATGTTAGAAATGGTTGATCAGTAATTGTTGTGTGGCAATTAAAGTTCTATTCTATTCTATTCTATATTTTGTACTTCTGATACTTAAAGGTCATAATCTGACCTTCTCAGCTGTCCTCCTTTTCCCAGTTACGAGAAAATATAAAGGGGGTTGATTCTATTCATTCCATGAGTGACTGTTCTGACCAGAGGTTTTTCCTTCTCAGGATCCAACAGATGACCACACTGATGAATCAAAAGGAAGAATCACTGAGGAAGCTGAAGGAGACCTTGAGGAAATCCCAGCAGGAGGGAGAGGAGTCATGTAAGTGTAGTTGTTGTTTTCTTTTATCTTATGAAAATGTCATTATACTTTCCTTCAACTGTCAGCGTCAGGGGGTAACACTGAGTTTGATTTTCAAAACTCTAAATCTCACAAATATCTGAAACAATGGACTTTAAACTGAGTCCTTTAGTGTAATTATTCATGAAAACAAAATAAATCTGTGCTATTTCTCAATCTGCTGCTGATTACGAAAGCCTGTTTTACACAGAGATTGCATTATAGGGCTGCTACAAAGTCCCTTCTTTATTTCGTCTTTGCATTTTTACACTAGAGTGTTTTTTTTAGACTGCATGCAAGCATCATTGAACAAAAGTGCCGTGACATGTAACACAACAGTGTCTAGTGTAACATATAACATATACGTCGGCAGCGCTTTATAAACTATAACAGTGGCAAAAAATGGAAATAACAATTACTTACCACCCCTGATTAATGGCAGCTGATTTCACTCTTTGCTCCGATGGTAAGGAACTCCTGGACCTCATTATTTTTCAATTTGTGAACATTTTCAGCTGCTGTTGTCCGTCTTCGAGTTAGCTGCTAACTGCTATCAGCTACATTTTACTCCTGTGGTGGGTCAAACCATAACACCTTGTCAATATGTCCCACCCATGATCCCATCCAGCTGACTGTCCCTTTTATACAGACGTCCATTCAGTGATGTTACTGCCACCACTGCTGGGTTAGAGGCAACAGGCAGTGTAACAAGGGCTTAAAAGAAAGGGGATAAAAACATATGTGGTTTTGCAATATTTTGATTGGTTTTATAGTGCAAACTAGATGAGATCATGTTTTTTGTTCTTGGGAGTATATATTAGCTTTGCCCACAGAGCCACTATGAACTCTTGAATAGCAATCCTACAGTGACACATTTTGCAAGAGCACCTTCTCTGCATCCTGGGCTTAGCACGGCCCCTGTACGATTGTAATTGGTTTAAAGAAATACAAACAACTCAGAGAGGTTTTTTTCCCTTTGTGCAGAATGACTGTGGGTTCAGCCAGATCTTTCTCCATCATTGGCACAGCGTGAAATAGGTCTAGCTGTGTAAAACTACAGCACATGCCACACAACTGCTACATCGCGATTTGATTCCAATCGGGGACATTTGTTGCGAGTCATATACCTCTCTCTCCCTGTTTCCAGTATAACCTTCACTGTTAAACTGTCCATTAAAGACAAAAATACCAAAAAAAAAAAAAAATAAAATACAAAAGGTGCTCTTTCCTACTTGACTGGACTAGACACAACAGCCTATAAGCTGATACTAGTTCAAGAACATGTGCCAAGTGTCAAGCTGCTATTTTTTATGTCTTTTGCCTTGGCTGTAATGTGTATTTGTTACCAATTTAAAGGGGAAAACTGATTTAATGCAGTTTGACACTAATGACATCATGTTGAATTCAGTCTTGCAAGGTGAGGACCTTCATGCCAGACTGACCAACCCCCGAGGTCTGGTGATCAAATCCAGCGTTGTACTGGAGAAGACTAAACTGGAGGAGGAAGTCAAACAGCTTCAACTGAAAATAACTGAGCTTGAAAGGTGAGATTAACCAGTTATATTGTGGAACTGCTCGGCCAGTTCATGTGATTCATAGCATCCCTTAGTCCTTTTCTAATACTTGTCCCTCTGTCACCATCAGCTTGGTGTCCAGTCAGCAGGTAGAGATCAACAAGTGGAAGAGCAGAGCCTTCAAGCTGAAGGTGAAGAGCAAGGCTGAGGTGGACAGGCCTCCATCACCCTGCACTCCCACCAAAAGAGGCCTTCCCTTGACCTCAGACCCCTCCAACTTCCTCAGCTCACCCAAGAAGTTTCTGGTTACTCCCAGGAAGGTCCTTGACTCTCCCAGGAAGGTCCTTGACTCTCCCAGGAAGGTCCTTGACTCCCCAAAGGTCTCTGTGCTCGACTCCCCCAAAAGCAGATTCTTTGATGTGGGCGGAAGCTCCGAGGTGCTGTCCAGAACCTGTCCTAAGCAGTTCTTTGATAACTCCAGCCTAGGAACCATTCCAGGTAAGCTACATTTGAAGTTTACTCCCTGCACTGTTTGTCACATAGTTTTTAACATCATACAGACATTCGCTGTTTGTTTTGCCAGAGGTTTTCGACGTTCCTGATGAACCAGACGCAGACATGGGTAACTGCTGTAATGTCACTGTGTGTTTGGGCATGGAGGGTTTACTAACGAAGCATGAGGTGTTGGGACTTCACCGGGGTCACACTGAGCCTTAAAACCTGAATCAAGACTGATGCACACCTTCAAAAACTGATGACTTTATAATTTGGTTGTAGCTGAGAAATCCATTCATTGAGCTTTCATTTAAATAATGAATTTTTATCCAGGACTATGTCAGCAGACCAGACATTATATTTTAAAGAAAACAATCAATATGGAAGATGGAATATATGGAAGCCTATTTATATTCACATAGAGTTATTAAAAATACATGAAAAGTAGGATTGTTTTTTTTTTTGTTTTTTTTTTTTCTTAAGTAAACAAGCCAGAATTTTGTCTGCCAGTCAAAAACATTAGAATACATGAATACAAGGTGATTAAAAAGTTTGAGATAGTACACTCAGTTTCCAGTAGGACCTGGTCCCTCAGGAACAGCACCAGGCTTTGAAGCCACATGTGGAATTACAATTTCTATATTCATCTCATGATGCCATGTTTTTTCCCCATAGACTTGCATTGTAAAAGAGACGTCTGTAAATCAGTGGATGGATTTTTTCTAGCATCACAGCCCCTGCAAACTGACTCGTATCACTTTCAGAATTTGATCCATTCAGTCTGATAACATGTCTAAAGTCTAAAAGAGCTGCACGATTAAATCATTTTATTCCCATTTGAGTTTGCAGAAGACTTCAAAATGATGTCAGAAAGACGTTGGACAGAGGTTGAATTTTGGTTGAAGTGAAAATCGGGTTGACGATATTTCAGATATCTAATGACATTCACATTTCACGTTGTGTGGACATTAACGTTATGACATTTTGTAGATATTGGATTTTGTTCCTCATACCTTACGACTGAATGTTGCTGTTCTACGTCAAAAGACATTGGAGTCCTGCAAAAAAATCCTCTCCTCATAATGGTTCTTTATCGTAGACTGTTTATAAAGATGGGCGTATTTCCACTTCCTCCCACTGTACAGAAATGAAGCCAGAATATTCCACATACAGCCGCTGCCATTTGCACTGGTGACATCATTTGTGTCATTTCTGCTGTATCGGGTTCCTGACCATACACCCATTCGACCAATTGCAAGCAGCATTATGGATTGCACGCACACCAGTCAGCACACAGCTGTCAATCATGACTCCAGACCACCTTTTTATAGCATCAAATGACAAGTTAGAACCAAACTTGCTAGCAAAACAAACTCTTGAACATAAATCAGCATTTTACAAACGACCTACGAAGACGGAAACCTTTTTTTTGGGGGGGGGGAATGATTTGACGTGTAAACTATTTAGTTTGGCCAATGCCCTATCCACTAAATGATGAGGGCGGGGTATATGGCCTATGCTGCAGCCAGCCACCAGGATCCGATCAAACTTCTAAGATACAGTCTATTAATCATGATTTATTAAATCAAATAATTTTTATTAATCTCGTAATCTTTTATTGTTTTGACTTAGCTTAAGGGTTAAGATATGGTCTGGAGGCAGGAAATTTTACAGTTCAGCAATAAATGTCATTGTTAAAAATGACATCAGTGCACTGAAATAGTAAACTTAATTGGGAACTTAATAATTATGAATTACTCCAAGCATCTTTCCTGCATTATGTTCTGTTCAAAATAAACTTTATGATATCTGTCCATAGTGGACAACATAGAAGCCAATACCAGTATATCTGTGATAGGCCAATATCGTCTCACCAGTATATCAGTCCAGCTCTATTTGTCAAAATCCACCTATACTTTTTTCCTGGTGAAAATGAGCTTCCATATTACAATAGCTACTCTACCTGGTTTTAAATTTGAACATTATTTTTGGCAGTACATAGAAATACTTGGCTTCTGAAATGTCAACCAAATTTCAGTCACTATGAGAGTATCTTGATTGCAAAATGTCGACCATGGCAACTTAAGTATCATTAAAGAGCAAAGCTGGAGTATGATGCTGGTGATTAAATTCATAGTCTGCCCTCAGTCTTCGAGATGTGTCCTACACAGGGAACTTTCAGGATGTCCTACTTTAAATGACTGCTTATTCAGTCCTGTTTGCAAACTTTCTATCAGCCTGCAATCCTGCACTTTTTTCAAGTGGAAAAACCCACAATTCATAGTTGTCATGTTTAAAAAGGGAAAATGAATATGGTACAGGTTAAACAGGAAGTGTAGTACTTTGTGCTGTGATAGCATAATACTGTATATTTAATGAACTGGCTTGAAATCAATATTGTTTGACTTATTTACTGATGCAAACAACAGATATACCAATCAGATAAAAGACACAATGAATACAGACGCCTGTTTAATTAGAACAGTCATGGATAATTAATTTTACATGTGCAACAGTGTGGGTTTAATCCCTTTATGGACGTCTCAGTGAGCAGTGAGGTGGATTTTATTATAGTACCTGAGATTTCTGTGTAGTAATAAGTCTCTTGTGTTGCAGATGCAGCTGCAGGTGCAGGCAGAAAGGATTGGTGGCCTCAGTCTCCAAAGCAAGAGGAAATGTGTAAAACCCAGTAAAAAAAAAATCCATGTGCAATATATTTAAATGTCTTTTGTCTTTTCAATGTTTCTGACTTTTCTGTTTTGTTTTTATTCCGTCATTCTGTAGTTCTAATAATAAAACATCTTTTAATTAAGTAAAGAAATCTGTTGTCTCTTTTACTCTCAGTCCAGTGACTTAGTTTCTATAAAATGTGTGCACACAAGTTAGTCATTAAGTTTCTGTTGCACTGAATTACAGGTGCATGGCTCTGTTTTGGTGACCAAATGATTCGCTGCAGGATATTATGTTGATTTGTGGCACATATACAGGACAGTACACGTTTGATAATCCAGAATACTCAAGAATGATATTTTGATAATTTCTTCATATACTACATACTGTACATGCTTAAGAAATTCAAAATGGAGAGGGTGGATCTGAGCCAAAGGTCTGTGTTAACATGCGTCCAATTCCTCCAAAAGAGAATAGAAACCATATTCTTTCTTCAGTATGTCAAACAATGAAGGTACGCCTCCTTGACACAGGTGCCTCCCATCTATGGTGTACAGTAAAGCCTCAGCAGGTAGAACTGAACCTGAGTGTTGTACTTGTCTTTCTCCAGAAGTCTTGCAAATGTGGAATTATATGGTGTTAAGGGGGTACTTATCCATAATCCGTGTACAACACACAGTAGATGGCGGTCAGCATGCCCTTAGATTGGAGAAGCAGGTGGGCAGGAGTGCCATCACAGAAGCTAAGCCCTCCCTGGAGTCAATATATTTTCCTTGAGACCACCACCACCATAAATAACTGTTTGTGTATTCACACCAAATATATGTATTGGAGCCAAAGCAATGAGCAAACAGCTCAAAGGGAGTGTGACTTATCACCAGTTGGCTTCTTAAGCTATGGGGGCAGGGCCTTCCCAATAGCTGCCCCAAAGCTGTGGAATTCCCTTCCTCCCCCTATCCATTTCTCCCCCACTATAGACACTTTCAAGAGTAACCTTAAAACATATTTCTTTTCTTTAGCTTTGAACTGCATATAATGTTTGCTTGTTTGTTTGTTTGTTTAGTTGTTTCGCCTTTGTATGTGATCTAAAGCACTTTGAATCAACCTTGTTGTGTGTAATGTGCTATATAAATAAAGTTGAACTTAAACTTAAGCAAAATGCAAATCCTCTTCCCACACACAAAACCAGCAAAATTTAATAAGCCTACACATCATACACACATAAACGTACACACCATTTTTTTTTTTTCAAAGAAAAAACCCACTTGAGGGTTATGGTGTTACGAGGGTATTTTAAATAAATAGTAAATACAGTCTCTCCCTTAAGCCAGATCAAAAAACATAACTCCCTCCTTAGTGCTTAAAAAAGTGTTGCCTCCCCCGTTTAGCACCACCCCCCTCTCATAAGTAAGGAACAGTCCCTTTGCAGTAGGCAGATGTAAACCATCATTTAAAAAATACAATTCACCAACACAGTAATAGGTTTTTGTGGGTGTCGGAAAATAAACTTAAGAGGGGGTAGGGTTATTCAGCAGAAGAGATGAATGTTAGATTTAAACTTCCTGTAATTATCAAAATAAAATCCTGAGCTTTTACTTTGAAGAATAGATCGGCTGAGATCCTGTATTGCTGCTACCTTTGTTTGGCTGGCAATGGGACCAATCAGAAAACTGGTCAGAGGTGACGTCCTGACGTACAACGTCATTACGTTGTATTAGTACGTCCCGCGCGGGAGCTTTGGTTAGGAAACAGTCGACTTTGAGGGAAACAAGAAGGCAACAACAGGTAAGTTAATACCGCAGCTATATCAAAAGAAATATTCACATTTATAGCACATGATTGGAAAACATCGGTAAGACACAAGTAATATTATTGTAATGAACTTGTCGCTTCGCTGTGACGCTGTCATCGATCGAGCAACGTTGCTAGCTTACTTACTCCAACTCCATTAAGTTACTGAAATGCAGCAAACTGATGGGAAAACAGCGCTAAATTAATGCTAAAAAGGCTAGCTGCTTAAGTAAAAGTGAAAAAAATGATACTAGGGCGTAAAGCTGGTTCATAACACGAGTTAATTATACTACTGTGAAACTAACGGTTGGGCTTTTTTTTATTGTTTTTACCGTTTTCACCGGGTTACCGGTAACTTAATTGTGTAAAATTAGCGCTACGCATTCGTTAACGTTAGTCTGCTAACTCACTGGGGTGTCGCCAAACGTTGCTTAATTTTGGAAACCAAATAAAGACATTCACTGCTCATTACATTCAGTTAAACGTTAGAAAAACATTTCTCTCAACTGCTACCTTGTCTTTAAGACCAGGGAAGCAAAGTCACGGAGCTAGGACAGCCAAAATCTCAGACTCTTGCTCACTGTAGTCAGGAAAGCATTGCTATTACCTGTCACTCAGCCTTCTGCCTCCTCCATGTTAACCCTGTTCTCACACTCAGATCATGGCTATGAGGAGCGAGGCCAGGGTGGAGACAGAGGTGGAGGAGGAAGAAAACTTCGGGCCACAGCCTCTGAGCAGACTGGAGGTATGTATCCTCAACACACTTTGTTCCCTCTGAGAAACACTGAATTTGCTGCACCCACTGTATACATGTCGTGTCCCTCTTTCTGTCTGAGTGGGGCCTTGGTTTGGGGGAGGAAGTTTGCTGTTGGGGAAGTTGGCTGGGGTAACATCTTCATACAATATTTGCAATTCAACGCTTCATGCACCTCATTATGTAAATGTGTTGTGTGCACTTAAAAATGTCAGCCTCATGTTTAAATAAGCGCCTGTGTCCCGTAACAATGACAATCTAATTAGGTCGCATTTAGACAGGTTAATAATCCATCACTTAGAACAAAAAGCCAGTCTTTTTCCTGGTCTTCTTTATTCCTACTGACTGTCGTTCTGCAGCTGTGACACGGCCATGTCTCCTGAACCAGGTGCCGAATATTGTGTGAGCATTGCATCTCTAACTGTAATGATGCTCTGGTGTTTGTAAAAGCAATTAAAAACCATTCATGTAAAGCTCCAAAGCCATTACTTCAACAGGTAGAGGAAGCCAGCAGGTTCCAGGTCTGACAAGGGCAGACCTCTGTTAATCTTGCACATTGTGTAGTGTAGTGAATAAGGGGACCACCCTGGCTTCACCTTACTTGAATTTACCCACTGTCCTTGGTTTAGGCCATAACAAAACTGTTCCTATTTCCCAACAACATTTGCAGTTTTCTCACTCCCAGTGAATTTCTGCTGTCTCTTGTTCCAATGTCTCTGCATTCAGCAATGTGGAATTAGTGCCAGTGACATCAAGAAACTGGGAGAAGCAGGTTTCCACACCATCGAGGCCGTGGCCTACGCACCCAAGAAGGAGCTGCTCAACATCAAAGGCATCAGTGAGGCCAAAGCTGACAAAATTCTAGTAAGTAACATCAATCTTATTATTCAGTGTCCCAGTCTGTCTGGACGGTCCTGGTGTAGCATTTAACCTGCTTGTGTTCTTGTGGAAAGGAAAGTGGACGTGGGTATGGATATCTGTAGGGTTTTTATTTTAGACACACATGCATTTGTTGATTTGGTTGCTGTAATCACTGAAAGGCTAACGCCAACAGCAGCATTACTTATTATATCCTCCACAGAATGTGTATATATAAATATGTAGCTGCCATTTCTCCACGATCATCCAGGAAAATTATTTTCTGAACAGAAATGTCAGGCCATGCTGTTGCAGAATAATGCTTCATGATCCAATGCTTAGTTGGAAAAGTTGTTTCTGATGTTTCCAGCTGAGAGAACATAGTTTAAACACTCATCATTTGTGCTGTTTTCTACTCACTTCTTTTGGTTAGATTAGTGTTGTCACGATACCAAAATCTTTGTTTCGGTACTGATACCAATATGAATTTCGATACTTTTCGATACTCTTCGGTACTTTTCCTAAGGAAAAGTCCTTTGGGATACAAACCTTTAGAACAATAAATAGTAGGGGTGTAACGGTACCAAAAAATCATGGTTCGGTAAGTATCTCGATACGGATGTCACAGTTTGGTTGCTCAAATGTTTCACCAAGTTTGTGTTGTCTCGTGTTGTCTCCCTTTGCGAGGCAGACTTTGTCTTGTCTTTTTTCACGTGCACCAGCTGCGAATGTTGATACAGGTGTTGTCATACACACCACTTGCGCAATATGTGTTCCAATAGGAACAAGAAAGGTGTTTGTGTGCATAAATGAATTAAATAAATTAATGAATTGAATCAATTTAAAAAGTACCGGTATTTTCCAAATGCAGTATAGTACCGTTTGGAATACTCTAGTATCGCGGTACTATTTTAGTACCGGTATACCGTGCAACACTAGGTTAGATGATTAGGGAAGTCCCTATGTCAGTTTGGGTTGTCACACTAGTAGGGCTGGGTATTGGTGAAATAAGACAGTACCAAGTGGAATCAAATGTTCTCCAGTCAAGCAATACCTGCATTTGATCCTTTTTGTTCCCAAATTTAGACAAAAATACTACTTTTACGGTTTTGCTTGCAGCCAATCACTGCAAGCGTACTTTAATTTGATGTGATGTGTGATTGGCCCACTACTGTAGCAGCTACAGCCCATTCAGTTCAGCATGCTGAGCTGCCACCTAATGGTAGAAATTATGGATATACTATACATATATATGTTCAAGTGTTCTTATTTTTCTATAAGTATAAATTTAATTAGTTTTTTTTTTTTTTTTTTTTTGATGCTATAAAAGGGGGTGTGCCGTCATGACTGACAGCTGTGTTTGTCAATCGGTGTAATTGCAATTTATGACGCTGCTCGCAGTTGAGTTGGCCGGGTTTATGCGCAGAACCTCAACTCAACCTTGGATCACTGCTGCACAGATTCTAGCCCAAAATGACATCAACAGCAGCTGTATCCAGGATATCTTGGCTTCATTTTTGTACAGTGGGAGGAAGTGGAGACAAATAATTCTGGCATCTTTGTTTCCAAATGACCTCAAACAGATTAAGTATTTCTGTGCTAATATTAGCTGTTACTCAACAGCCAGTGAATACAACAATAATAAAGGCCAATATATCAACCCGACCAGTTTATCTGTCTGTTTTTACTTATGCTTTGTTAGGTTTTTGTCAGGCATGTAAAAAGTACTGTATTGAGTA